ACGTGAAAAGCTGGCCATGGATTTTCCACACCTACCTGCACCATTATTTTTTCCAGCATTCCAGTTTACTATTCCAAAAAGAAAAAAACTCACCTGTTACTACCTTGGGTGGGACCTAGGAAGGGGAACTAATGGATTTAGACAAATAAATTTGACGAAGTTTGCAAAGTTGTGCAATTTGCATCATCGTTACCATTCAATAAATTTGAAATGTGATTTCGAGTCCGATCTAAGAATAAGTTAAAAGATGTAGATGTTTTAAACACCCCATGGAAGCCGGCCAAAAGGGAAAGGACACCTCATTAAAGTCCTCTACTACGACCTTAACAAGCTCTATACCACTTGTATAAAATTAAGAAATTTGAAATTTGATTTCGAGTTCACACCCATAGCTGTAACATTATAATTATTTTTTTGGCCAAATTTTGAAAAAATTTTGTCTAGTGTATCTGCTAGACTTTTTTATTTCCATAAAGTGAAAATGTAATTTTGAGTCTTATATTATTGAAAATGATTTAATTAAATTTATTATATTAAGAATTTTTTAGAAAATTCATAATACTCTTAATACAAATTTACATTTAATATAATAGGTAAATTGCCTCTCTTTTTTACTGCTATTAAATTTTCATTAATCAAACCTTAAAAACTGTTGAAAAACCTAATTGAAGGAGAACAAGGATCTTAAACATGTTGCCAATCTTGTTAAGAGTCACCCTGTAACAAGTAAATCCATGTCTTTTGTCCTGAATCTTTAAAGAATTAAAAAATTGAACCTACAAAATTATTTTATCCAACTTGAGCACTCTTAAAAGCCCAACAATACATTGTTAAAGGGCCAAATTCTGCAAACAAAACCCAAGACTACACTACATTGCGAACGGGCCGGCTCCAAAAGGCCCCTTTTTTTTATTTCGGATGCTGGCCCTGAAACCCAAATTTCAGTTATCTTCTTTAATACCCACCTTCCACGTTCTCTCTTCCCTGCACTGATGGTCGTGGTCGTGCCTCCTTCAACTGCCAACAACAAATACATTCCAACCACGATCTTCCTCTAATTTCCTCCAGGAGAATTATATAATTCATTATCCAGTTGCGTCTAGAACTTCTAATTATTTTTGATTCTTTGCTTCTTAAGGTTTCTCAATTCGTTCCTTCAACTTCGCTATTCAGTGGATGTTACAGTGGAAAACTCATAACTATCAATTGTTTGAGAAAGGGTCCTAGTGGGACACGCGCTAGGATCATGCTCATGCAATTCATATATAGAAACAAAATCAACAAAACAAGGTAATGGTTCATTCACTCCCTCTTTCTGTTACTGGGACAATAACTATCCTGCTTTTGTGAATACAGAATGGAGAAAAGATAATGAAGCTATAAAAATTCTGGCAAACAAAACAGAAAAAACGTAGACAGAAGAAGGAAGCATGTAAACATACAGATCACAAAAAAGGAAATGAAATGATCTTAAGACATAACATCAAAGCCAAAAGTGAAAGAGATGAAATTACTAATTGGAAGGGGAGGAAAACAGCAGATTGGTGAGCAAAAGTTAGGAGAGGTACCATATTTGATCAATGTTAAGCCATGATTACAAGACTCACTGTAAGATAATAATTTCTTCACTTTCCAACAAGTTGGACATGGTCAACTAATTTAGAAATCGATCCACTTTCGAATACTTTAGATATATTTGGTTTTTTTAAAAAAATAGTTGAGAATAATTATTTAATTAATTAAATTATAATATTAACAAATAATATAATATAATATTATTTATTTATTTATCCTTTTTTCCATTTTTTTAAATTGAACATACTTTTTTTATCGGGTTAGTGAAAAATCATCTATAGTCACATATACTGGCAGAGAATCACTCAACCTGCTCAAGTGATCTATAACGAACTGCCCTCATAAGTCATAAGTCATAGTACAAAGATTCATAAGTTACAAAGAATCCCACCTCATTTTCTATACTGGCAGAGAATGTGCTCATCATTAAACTTCATACAGGAACACCCTGTACCACTACTAACATCTATAAACAATCAAGCTCCTTTTTCCAGGGCACTTATAGATAAGTTTCACTGCCACAAAGAGGATCCAAACAACAAACATTTTTCAATATATCATTCACGAAGATTATACATCCACTCAATAATTTCCATACTTTAGCCAAATTTCTTCAGAAATTCAATTTCTTAGCTAATATTATCATTTTACAGCATATTCTAAATAATTTCTAATAAAAATCAGACAATATATAAACAAAGGTAAGCTACAATGCAAAGAAATCTATTAACAGATCTGGCCAACAAAATACTGGATCTGATTCATAACGCCAGACACAAATTAGAAACAAAATCGAATAAGAAAATCTTCATATAAAATTAAAATTGAAAAAAAAAAAAAACCACCGAAACAGATCCACAAAGATTCAAAAGAAAACACCGCTGCTTAACGTAAATTCGAGGTAAACAAATCGAAAATTCAATCGCAATCGAAAGATTGGAGGATAAACGAAGCTTACTATTCGTTATTCATGGTCGTGGTACGAGAATCGGAGGAGACGATTGTGAAAAAGAGGAATCCCACCTCCCTCGATTGTTTCCTGCACAACCAGACGATGAGGTTCGTTACGACCATCTCATCGCCACCGCCCGAATGTTCATCCATTTGTTGAAATTGGATTCAATTCTCAAATTTCAGACTCATAAACAGGGGATTTTGAGAAATCTAAGAAGAAGACACAAACTTTGAGTACTTGATGAGATTCGAAGGAGAAGACACAAAGGATAACGCGAAATCAAAATCTGAGAAATCAAAATCAAAATGAATATCAGGTTTCAAGAGAAATCAAAATCAAGATTGAAGAGACGACGACCTAATGGAGAGATTTGAAGCTTACCGACTGCAATTCGTTTAGGGTTTCTGCTTACCCAGTGGAGAGAGACTCTGGAAATGAAACAAAAGTTTTGAAAATGGAAAGAACGAAAGGGAGAATACTGAAATAGAAAAGAACGAGAGACAGAAAGGGAACGAGCGACTGGAAGGAGACGAGGTAATGAAGGGAGAATAGCCCGGGGTTTTGGGAAAATAACGTGGGGAGTGGATGGCAATTCTCCCCGCTTTCTGTGGGGCCCGTGGGATCCCTATAACGGGGACGGGACGGGAGGAATATTCCTCCTCGTGGGTAGGGATGGGGACCATTTTCTTCCAGTGAAATTTCACAGGGAATTTTTCCCGCCTCGTGGAGCCCCGCGAGGATCCCCATCCCCGCAAAAAAAAAAAGTTTTTATTTTAAAATTAATTTATTCTTTAAACTCAAACCTAAACTCAAACTCAAACTCAAACTCAATCCCAAATCCAATTCAATTACAATTAAATTTAACTCAATACTATCTAACCCAACCCAACCCAACTCCCAACCCAACCTAAATCTAACCTTAACCCAAATACTGAGCCCAATAACTACTTTCACAAATTAACCCATTAAAACCCAAACCTAAAAAACCCTAGTTTTCCTTTCTCTTTAAAAGGGGGGGAGCCACACCGAAAAAAAAGGCTGCAGACGGCCAAAAAAAAAAAAAAGCTTGATTCTTCTCCCATCCAGAACCCCTTTCTCAATTTTTTCCTCCGATCAATAGCTTCCACCTACATCACCGGTCATCACCTGATTCTTCTCCCATCCAGAACCCCCTTTCTCCATTTTCTCCGATCGTGGGATCCCTCCTTCAGATCTGGATCTGCCTTTCTCCAAAATTTCTGCCTTGGGTGTTTTTGTTTCATATTCTGCAATTTCCTGATGTTTGGTGCTTAAACTTGTATGAATTTGCTAAAAGTGAATGATATTCAGGGATTCGTTGCTTGCTACTCAGTGTTTACTACTACAGCCACCGGTACGTAGCTTGCCCCAAATTGCTTTCTTAAGAATATGTTCCTGTACTAGTCTCTAGTTTCTTTACATCTATGTTGATACAGATGGTTTCTGCCTTGTGTTTCTTCTAGTTTCATATGCAATTTCTTGATTCATCACACCCTAGATCAGAGACCAAATTTGTGTTTGGATTTTTGGAAGCCTCTTCTTCTTCTTCAATCTCCATGAAAGTAAAATCGAGATTTGAAACGATTTTACCATAAAATTGCAATTTTACGATTTTTCCTTCCGATTTCATGAGAGTTTGATTTTAACATAGATTTTACTCGAAATCCATACCTAAAATCTTAAAATCTTAAGATCTTACGATTTAAAACTCGATTTTGACAACCATGATTACTATTGCTGCCGTTCCCCGTGGGGAACGGAGACGGGGGGCAAAATCTGCCCCCCATCAAAAATCCCCGCGGGGTTCCCCGTCCCGTGACTCGCGGGGACGGGGATGGGGAAGGGTCCCCGGCCCCGCGGGGCCCCGTTCACATCCCTAGTGGGGACTTGGTTTTGGGGGGATTCTAACTATATGTCCTGTTTCTTTTTTTTTTTTCTTAATATACAGCCGCTTTTCAAGTACCGGAGATGAATAATATTTCCAAATGCATAAATAAAACGCCCAAAAAGCACTCTACCCAAGTTAGGATTTCCAGCACACATAGTAAGCGCCTGAAATAAAGTGCAGGTAAATCTTGAAATTCTTGTAGTGAGGGAGTGTAAGCTCATCCATTAATACCAAACATCACTTAAAGAATTATCTATAAAGAAAGGAGTGCGCTCTAGGTATGCAAATTGAACATCTCCAATGTGCAAAGTGGCTCAATCTGTCTCAGCTTGTGTGACCTATTATCATACATAAAGTAAAAAAATGTGATTCTCTTAGGGATCTATGTATCACAAATGAAAAAGGAAAAACCTATGAGGCACGGAAACTACTTGTACATGTCAAAGCTAAAATTTATATCTAAAATTATGGTTTGCTTTGTGTGTAAAGGAAAAGAATGTAGCAAACGCATCATTTGAGTAAACCGGATTCTAATTAAAGAGAAAGTACAGCAGAACCTAAATAATCAAGAAGTAAAAATTTGTTTTCTAAATACTCTCTCTCCCTTTAAAGCACTATAAGACAATTTAATTTTGAGTGTCAAGCAACGTGCAAACTTTGCAAAGTTCATATCCAACATATGGTTTGTGAGTGCACTGTTTAGACCGTATAGGAATTAAGAAAGCAACATCTCAATATATATGGATGGTTCCATATATATAAGAAATTTACTTTTATCATACAAGTATACATAAGAAAGCAACATTTGTTTTCTTGAAAGATATCTCATCTCTCTTTAATACACTATAAAACAACACATGAATTTAAAGGATTTGCATGAATTTAATAATACATAATACAAGTTGCACATGAGTCCACGAAATAGAAATGATCTATCTCTCTCTCTACTTTTTTTTTTTTTTTTTAAGAAAAAAGGGATCAATTTTAATTAGTGAGGTAACATTTTGGGCACCAAGCAATGCGACAACTTCACATCCAACTTACGCTTACACCATCCAGACCTGCAACGAACTAAGAAAGCAGCTTCAATGTACCTCCATGCATGTTTACAAGAGATGTACCTTTAACAAACAAGTGTAGAGATGATGGAAGGAAAAGACCAACTCACCATCAAATTTCACTTGGAAAGGACATGAGCGGCAATTTCTTTGATCTCAATTTTTAGAATCACCTTGACTCTGCAGACATAACAACACAATACTGAAGGTGAAAAAAAAAATTGTAGCAGACATTTTCCTTTGCAAAATTGCAATCTATTAAGCATTCATACATACCTTTCTAGTTTTTCGTGGTATTTTAAAGACTCTAAATGAATATATGTGTAATAAAGGAAAAGAGAAATAGATAGAACTTAAAAACCTAAGGAGATCTTTTGAATTTATGCATACCTTTTGCATGAACTGTAGTTGTATGGTTGAGTTTAGGTTGCCAACCCAAAAGCCTTCATCTTCATCTCCAGTCAATTTTACTTTCTGCAGTTTTGGTGTTCTTATTTCGTCCATAGAGAAAGTCTGCATTCTTGGACAATCCATCAAAATCACCTCTTCCAAAAATGGGAACTCAAACTTGCACTTATCCAAGCAAAAGCTTGAAAGTCTAGGCAGACCACAAAGTTGCAAATACTTGAGTTTGCTAAAGACAATCTCATCCTTCACATCATCCTCCAAGCATGTGACGATTTCCAACAAAGGTAGCCGAGTGGCCTTTTGAGCTTCTGATTGGCTAACACCAGGTTCTTGAGACCCAAGTATCTCTTCAAGTGAATCACAGTTCCATATTTGGAGTTTGTCTAGTCTTTGAAGCCTTTCCACCATACTAAATGGGAAAATATTCATTAACTTTTCACATGAAACTACACTGACCAAAGTTAGTTGGCAAAAAGAATCTACTTCAAGTTGGTCGTTCCATATCTTATTCAAGCTCTTCACATGTTCAATTACCAAACGCTCTAATTTAGGGAATGCCACCTAGAAATTAACACAATTCAATTAAAATTAAACATAATCATAGATGTAATGAAATGAAAAATATTGGAAGCTAAATTTTTTAAAATGTAAAACTTTATGAGGCGAGAAAATAATAATAGCATTATAAGACATAAAAAGTAAAAAATAAAGAGAAAAAAAAGGAGAAATCACCTTTGCGTCAAAGAGAGAAAATGTACAAGTGTTTTTGACATTTTCAGAACTGGCTACCATGTCTCCAAAAATAAAGCTAGAGATGAAAGTCTTTAGCACAGGGCACTTGCTTATCTTAAGTTTCCAAAGCCATGGTAATTCCAAGTAATTTCCAGAACAAAATCTTGTGAGTTTTGGAAGGTCTTCAAGCAGTAGAAACTCCAGGTTAGGGAAGAAAATCTTGCACATCCCTTCCTCATCCATTGATTCTTCTGCAAGTATTATCTCTTCCATCATTTGACAATCTCGAATCTCAAGCCAATTCAATTGCTCAAAACTCTTAACCATGGAGGATGTCAATAGATTTTTCAAATTACCACAACCCTCCACACACAACTTTCTTAAATTTTGGACATAAGAAGATATTTCTAGAATCGATCTGTCCAAAATTTGCTGAATGTTATTTGAAGAGAGACTCAAAAACTCCAAGTTGGGAGTCTCCACCTGCAAAGATTCATAGTTAGTCTATTAAAACAAAAGATTGTAGGAAGATGACTCTATCATATTTGCTTAATGTTAATTGAAGAAATTTTAAACACTCCAAGTTGAGAAAGTCAACCTAATAGAATATTCATTAAAAAGCTTTCATCCTTTTAATTGATTAAACTAAAAACATTACAATACAAGGATAATCCCAAACCAAGAACATGAAAACAACTGCAATTATGTGAAGGACATTGATACTTTTAAGTAGACAATAGTGAACTCTTTTTGGACTTTACGTTATTTGGAGACAAAAAAGAAAAAAAAAATATTTGGATCAATAATCTTGTTTTTAAACTTGGGTAATTTCAGATTTTAAGTGCTTGTTCCAGCTAGGAGCCTTTGTTTTAACCGTATATTAAATGGAACTTATTTAAGGAGATTCACTCATGAAGCTAAAGAAATGGAGATGGCAACATCGACATGCAAAAAGCAAAGATAAATATACTGTAAAATCTTAATTACAATAAATAAATATAACCAACTAACCATGTTGTTGTAAAAATAAAAAAAATGGAAAAGAAGAAAAGAAACTAACCTTCCTGCTAAAGAGGTATTGGGATTCCTCTTTGTCGTGCTTTTCTAAGGATGTGGAAACAGCACATGTGACCATCTTTGGGCAGTCCTTTACAATAAAATCATTTAATCTTGGAAGCTCAAGACTATGACTTCCCACATAGAAACTTGTCAAATCTAAACAAGACTCTAGATTGATCAAACAAAGATGTGAGAATTCCATTTTATTTTCTGCTCCT